AATAATAATAATAATAATAATAATAATAATAATAATTAATAATAATAATTGCTTTAATGAGTGATATATAACTAGTAAATGTCCTCTGTCTTAAATCTCTGAAAGAAATCTGGCTGAATCTTCAACTTGCTTGGTAAGGAAGGTGGCTCTGTAATGAAGGATGAAGCTACTTTCTTGAAGAATTAAATGAGAATGCACACCTTCAACCTAAAACTAAGTAATTAGTGGTGCCATGATAGCTCCAATCACAATCACTTTCCTCAGAGTGGATATATGGAACAAATCATATTTTCTCATTAGGGACATTATAATCACAAACTTGCAGTTTATCCAGAAGTAATTTTCCATTAAGTACTATTTATATTTACATGAGAAAAAAATGACTTGGTCTAAGTTAACTAAGCCTGTTTTATCATCAAAAGTTATTTTTTACTGTTTTTGCTGAGAAGTCTGGAAAAGATATTTACCCAAAGGTACTCACTCATTTCTCTCTCTCCAGGTTAATGCTTCTTGGTCTTTAAGTATTGATGGTTTTTCACAGCCTACATTCTCTTCCTATTGTGTTTGAAAGTGGTACAGTCATTTAGTAGCTGTTCTGTTCCTTTGCTGAATCTTCGCAGATTTTTTTTTTTTTTTTTGACAAAAGAGAGGAACACAATTGGGAAGTTTCATTTCTTTACCTCACATGTTGAAAGTGGAAACATGATGAGGACTATTTCCAAAAGCACAAATCTTAAGTATAATGACGCTTAACAACTACTGGCGCAGAAAAGAATGGCAAGCTGAGGCTGCTGATTAATATCATCACATATTAATAACATCTAATTAACTTTCACTTGAAGCATAGCAGCTGTATCATATGATCTTTGCATAAATTTCACCATGATAAAGGGAACTGCATGCTAATATATTTCTGCTTTAATCTTTCTTAGTAATTCATTCATTTACAAAATTGTACTACTTGTATATCAAGATGTTCTAACTGCATTAATAAGACTTTTCTTCAAATGGGATAATGCATACTTCACTGTAAAAGCTTATGGCAAATAATACTTTTAGTCATTTGCAGTAGTAATCCATAAATGTATTTATATAGATTTTAAACAAGAATATTTCATCACTGATTAAATCATAATAATTTTAAAGAAATCTAGAAGTGAACATTACTCTAATAAAAATAAGTAAATGGAGTAATGGGGAGAGGGCCAAATAATACAGTGGTTGCTTTGCATGCAAGAGCACATGAGCTAAAACAAAGAACTCATATAAAAATATCATCATACTAATGTGTGTTTGTAATCTCAACTCTTGTAAGACAGAACAGGCAGATCCTAGGACTCACTGTTCAGCAGCCTAGTGTATTAGAAGAGCTCCAGGCCAGTGTATATCGTGTCTTGAGAAACAAGTTGTATACAGAGAAACAGCATCTGAGGTTATACTCTCATTCTTACATCCACTCCTGCACATATGCAGGTCCATGTCTATACATGTACACAAAGTATAGTCACACAAACAACACAAAGTAAATATAGCAGTGAATTGTGTGAAGGGGTATGGTGTGTGTTCTCTCTCTCTCTCTCTCTCTCTCTCTCTCTCTCTCTCTTTCTCTCTCTCTGTGTGTGTGTGTGTGTGTGTGTGTGTGTGTGTGTGTGTGTGTATGTGCATGGTGAAGGGGAGGAAGAATGGGGTGGAGGGCATCAGGAGAGAGAGAGAGGGAAAAAGTTAAAGAGGTCACACTAGATGGTTATGCTGGGAAGAGAAAGAACATGGTACTCTTTATTGATGTTGTCACTTCCTCCCTACCTATTTATACAGTGTATGATTTTGATATTCAATTTTTCATGATCCTGAGCCCAATTGCTTATTCCATTTTTGTTGTTTTGAAGAGACTAGCCCCCTGCTTTAGCAGCCATGGCACGCTAACATGTGCTTGCCTGACCTTGCCCCTCCTGCTAGTCACTAGGAGGTCAGATACCCTCCTCAGGGCAAGGAACCAATCAGAAGTTAGCTGGTAGGGCTGTGCTTTATGGTTCTGGGGGTGTTCTAGGTACAAGTTCACAACAGTGATGTGCAGAGCATAGCAACTGCCTTGGGAGGGCCTATTGGATGTAACAGCCTGTTGACCAATCAACACCACTCCCCTTATGCTACCCAATATATTCCCTGCCTACTGGTTCCCCTGGCTCCCTCTCCAAGCATCTGTTGCAATGAACAGACAAAGGGCCCAAGATAATGGGGTTAGCTCATTAAACAGCAATAATAAAAGACTCTTTTTAATTGAAATGGGTCTCTTGTTGATTTTTGGATTTCAAAATTTGGGCAAAACAGTTTAATCCACCAATGCCATAAGATAAGAATCCTAGAAAATGCATCCAATAAATATAAAATTTAAATATAAAAGATGTTTCAAATCTTCCCAGAAAAAAATATTGGGGCTATTTTAAGAAAAATGATATTCTAGTTTATTATTTTAAGAAAGATTTAGATGTATATTACATGAAAACCTGAAGCTTAGATGTTTTCTATAGCATAAAGAACCTCGTCTGAATTATATACAACAAAAACATAAATAAATTCATTCAAGAAGTATATATTGAGTGTTTAAAAGGGATGTGCTATGCACTATTCTAGGTGTTCTGGATATAACAATGTACTACACAGATACACACACACACACACACACACACACACACACAAACACACACATAGTCCCTTTACCTTGTGGATATTAAGTACCACATGAATAAATATAACATCACTGTGTGACTTAGGAATATTTAAATAAGCACAAGAATCGTATTAGTCCATGATGGAATGTGACATGAGGAAGCCCGGGACTGTTTTCCCTTCAAGTAAAATATGGATTTATTTAAGTATGAATTAAGCAAACCTTAACGCAGTGAAATTATACCTTGGGAACTATAAACTAAATACACACAGGATATGGTAGATTCTCACTACAGATAGATCAAGCTTATGGTAAAAATGTGTTTCTGGATATTGGATACTGATACTTAAGAATGGGCATAGGCTTGGAGAGGAGTGCTCCACCAGTAGGTGAAGAAAAAGGTGATAAACCAATATCTGCTTAGTCCCCTAGGAACCAGGATAGAGGTTTTGGTTTTGGAATTGAAGATTTGAAGGTAGCCTTCCTGCTTTGCTGGCAAACTTGCTTCTCTGGAGGCGTGGCTATGGGATTCTTGGCAATGCCTGCTGGAGTTGGGGGCTGGGATAACAAGATGAGTGGGGAGGAAGTTTGGAGGAGAAGACCACAGTGGGTGGTTTGAGGGCAGGAGGGAGCCATGAAAACAGGCAGTTAGACTGTCTGTTTAACTGGAAAGATTTCGGAACAGTATTTAAAGCCTATGAAATAACAAAAATACCTTTTTTGAAAATCTGTCTTAAGCAATTAGTATTTTGTTATCATCTATGGAAACATCTCTGTCTTGAATATTGTGACTCAATACACACATAGACATGGGGAAATCTTCAAATATTTAGAATAAGCAAAAATTTAAAATTATTTCAAATATTCAAGCTGTGTTTTTTTTCTTATAAGAACATTTCAAAAGAAAGACTTCTTTACCGTAGATTTACTTTCAGAGGAAAACTTTTCTATTAAGATATACTAAAAAGCATAATAATTGTGGCTGAGTAATTCTCTGAATATATGTAAGAATAATAGCTGTATGTTTTAATTTTTAATGGTTGTGTTATATGTAAAATGTATTAAAATATATTTATTAGCTACAGAGAACCTAAAAGTTGATTTGAAATCAACTTTTCAAGGTTACTTCTACCTCAGAGAAAAAGGAAAAAAAAACACAAATCTTAATACATATATAAGCAAATAATAAATTTTATAATATAAAAAGCAACAAGGACTGGCATTTGGTCATGCAAATCTATGCTCCCATAGGGACTGAGAAATGTTCCAATTTTGGGTTTTTTATAAACACTATTGACTATAGAAAATAGATTATATGTTGCATCATGGAATATGACAGTAGTATAGTTGGGAAGTTGCTCTGTTTTCCATAGGTAATTTTGTTAAGATGAATGCTTCTTTCTATTAAAATTTATAATTTCTTGTATTGTATTGCTAGATCAACTAACTACAATTTTCTGATGACACAAATTCTGTTTTTATGTAGAATGAGTGACATCACAAATACCAGCTTAAATAATACTTTTAAATTATGATTTATATCTATAAGATTAATAGTCCTGGGTTTATCTACCTATTCCTTAAAATTAAGATGGAACACTCAAAGAATAATTGCCACAATAAGAGTACAAGAAGAAGAGGAGAGGAGAAGAAATGGAGGAGCAGATATATTGAGTTGGGGGAAGAATAGAGGAGAGAGAGCAGGATGAGAGATACCATATCAGAGGGAGCCACTATAGGTCTGAGAAGAGATCTGGAACTAGAAAGATCTCCAGAGACCTATAAGGATGACACGATCTGACAGTCCGGGCAGTGGAGGAGAGGATGGCCTAACAGCCCCTCCCCTAGAATGAGAGTGATGACTACTCTCTATGCTATCCTAGAGTCCTCATCCAGTGGCTGATGGAAGCAGAGACAGACATACACAGAAATACACTGAGCTGAATTCTGGAACCTAGTTGAAGAGAGGGAGGAATGAAGAACGAAGGGGTCTGTACCAGGTTGGAGAAACCCACATAAACAGTTGGCCTGAAAAAGGGAAAGCATATCGACCCCAGACGCTCTTTGGGAGGCCAGTACGGGACTAATCCAGCCCCCTGATCATGGATGCCATCGGGGAGGCCC